TTTATGTTGGAAAGAGTAGCTGCTCTCTGAAGACCAGTTTTTCTTTTGGGAAAGGCATCATGGGAAAGGAAATTATGGGAAGAATAATGTTGCAAGAAGGAAAATGCATGGAATTAGAAAATGCTGTATTTGTGCCTACCTTAAAGCATTTTTCTCAATTCATCAATGCATTGGTTGTCATGTAAACTGTCTGCTGCCAAGGTGGGCCTGGCTATAACACAAAATACAGCTATTGAATCCAGGAAACAAAGGATAATCAGTACAATGGTTTGCTTTTTCTTTTACTTCTTCAAAATGTTTCCCAACCCCCTAAATTCCTTTTCTATGACTGCTGTCATTAAGTAAGAAAAATGAGAAAGTCTTTGGAACCTCTCACATTCATAGGTAGGCAGAATTAATACTGTTAAAACGGCCATATTACCAAAAGCAAGCTATAATTCAATGTAATCCCCCTCAAAATTATATTCTTCACAGAACTAGAAAAAAAATCCTAAAATTTATATGGAAGAATAAAAGATCCAGAATTGCCAAAGCAACCCTGAGCTAAAAGAACAATGCTGGAGATATCATAGTACATGATTTTGAATTATACTGCAAAGCCATAGTAACAAACAAACAAACAATAAAAGCAAGGTACAGCATAAAAAGAGTCACATGGACCAATGGGACAGAACAGAAGACACAGAAACAAATTCACACAGCTATAATCATCTGATTCTCAAAAGGTTTCAAAAACATACACTGCAGAAAAGACAGCCTCTCTAACAAATGGTGCTGGGAAAACAGAATATCCATATGTAAAAGAATGAAACTAGATCTTTATCTCTCACACTGTGTAAAAGTCAACTCAAAATGGATCTAAAACTTGGGAATTGGATGAAAAACCTTGCAATTGTTAGAAGGGAAAATATTTCAGCACAGAGGTGTAGGCAAAGATATCCTGGTTAGTACTCCTATAGCTCAGGAAATCAGAGGAAGAATCAATAAATGGGATGTCATCAAATTAAATGACTTCTGCACAGCAAAATAAACAATTAATAAAGAGATAACCAACAGAATGGGAAAGATCTTTGCCAGTTATTTTTCCAACAGAGGATTAATAGCCAGAATATATAAAGAATTAAAAATACTCAACAAATGCTTCCCTAACTAAATCGTTGTGTTCATTTGTTCATTAAGAGCCTTGACTTACCCATATGTTTGTCTAATTTGTATATTTGTACAATAATATAACACATATGAATTTTAATCTCAATTGTCATGATAGCATTTCTAATTTTGGGGGAGGTGGTACTGGAATTGAATCCAACATTACTATTATTTTTTTGGTAATGGATTGAATCCAGGGGCACTTTAACACTGAGCCACATCCCCAACCCTTCTTATTTCTAACTTTGAGGGTCTTGCTAAGTTGTTCAGGGTCTCATTAAGTTCCTGAGGCTGGCTTTGAACTTGCAATCCTCCCAAAGGCTGGGATTATAGGTGCAAGCCATCATGCCCAGCTTGTCACATCTCTTTAAATCCAACTTTCTGACTTTCTTTGTGGGTCCTTGTTCTGTACCATTCTTTATATACCGTCCATTGCAGTAATTCACCAATTTCACCTTTCCATGTGGGTTCCTTGTTATATCACTCAGTTTCCTCACGCTGTAGATTTTTACTTTTCTTTGCAACAGCAACTTCCAAGTTTGGGCATCCTTTTTCCTTAAAATGTAGTCTCGGGACAAGTAACTAAACATTCTTTAAAAACAAACAAAAAAAGTACCTTCAGAATAAGGTTTATAGATGATTTGCACAATGGTTGAGTGTACCTTGCATAATCTGTTCTCAGAACATCAGGGTGCCCAGAACACAAAATCACAAGTGCACTTTGATATCAATTTGTAAGAATACTGCTACATTCAAGAGTCATAAAGGAAAAGTAGAACTTAAATAAAAGCCTACTAAGACTCACCCAATATGAAATAGATAATTCGAATAGCCCTATAACCATTAAAGAAATTGAATTCATAATTTAAAAAGCTTCTACAAAAGAAATCTCCAGGTCTAGGTAGTTTCAGCAGATATTTCTACCAAACATTTAAAGAATAATTAACATCAATTTTGTATATATTCTCTTCTAAAAAAAAGAGGAGAGAACACTTCATCTCATTTTATGAGAACAGTATTACCCTAACACTAAAACCAGACAAAAACAGTACAAATAAAGAGAATTACAGACTAATATCTCTCATGAACTTAGAAGTAAAATATTCAATGAAACACTAGCAAGTTGAATCAAGCAGTGTCTAAAAAGAATTACACATCATGACCAAGGGAGATTTATTTCAAATATGAAAGGCTGGTTCAACATTCAAAAATTATTTCATGTATTTTCATGTAATAGTCTAAAGAAAAATTATGATCATATCAATTGGTGCAGAAAAAAACATTTGGCAAAATCCAATACTCATTCATGAGGAAAAACTCTTAGAAAGTTAGGAATAGCAGGTATGTGAGCTTCACAGAGCTACTATAAAATGTTGCCACAATTGGGTACTTAAAACAAGAGAAATTTATTATCTCGCGTTTCTGGAGGCCAAAAGTCTTAAATCAAATTGTTGTTAGGCTTGATTACTTCGTGGCTGCTGAGAATTCTTGTCATTCCTTGATGTGTAAAAGCATCATTCCAATCTCTGCTTTCATCTTTATATATCATTTACTTGTATGTGTGTATGTGTAAAATTTTCCTTTCCTTTTACTTATAAGGACAACAGTAATCGGGCCAACCCTGAATGCATGATAATCTCATATAAATATCTTTAACTTAATTTCATCTGCAAAGACTTTATTTTCCAATAAGGTTAAACTCCCGAAGATTGGGGGGTAGGACTTAGACTAAACTCTTTTGGGACACAATTCAACCCACTGAAGAGAATTGCTTCAGTTCAATAAAGAGCATCTACAAGTAACATATGTCTTTGTACTTAATGGTGAAATAACTGAATGTTTTTCTCCTAAGATTAGGAACAAGGCAAAGATGTCCACTCTCACTCTTATTATTCAACATGGTACTTGATGATATAGCCATTGTAATTGGGCAGGAAAAAAAAACAACATATAGATTCCAAAGGAAGAAATAAAACTACGTGACAGAAGACTAACATCTAGATTGCATAGAGAACTCTCAAAACACAACCATAATGAATCCAATTAGCAAATGGGCAAAAAATATGAACAGACATTTCGTCAAAAAGTTATAGAAACAGTAAATAATCACATTGAAGGATGTTTGGCATAACTAGCCATTAGGGAAATGCAAATTATCAGAATGATTAAAATAGAAAATGGTGACAGCATCAAATGCTGGTGAAGATACAGAGAATCTGGATCACTCATGCCATATGGATAGAAAGGTATAATGTTGCAGTCACTCTGGAAAGCAGTGTGACTTTTCTTTTTACATAAAACTAAACATGCAACTACCATATGACCCAGCTATTGCACTCTTGGGAATTTTTCCCAGAGAAATGAAAATTTCTGTTCATGCAAATATCTGTACACAAATACTTGTTGTACTTTTATACTCTAGATAAAAACTGGAAATACTTCAGATGTCCTTAAATTAGTGAATAATAAAGCTCTGATGCATATATGCCATCAGATATTACCAAAACAGCCAACTACTAATATAACTTGAGTGGATTTTCCAGAAATTATGCCAAGTAAAAAGAACCAGTGCCAGAAGTTTACCATGATTCCATTTATGGCACATTTATGAGATGACAAAATTTTAGAAATAAAAGACATATTAGTGGTTGTCAATTGTTAGAAACAGGGATGGGGTACATGAGGGAAGTGTCAATGCTTTTAAAGGTCAACATGGGGCATATTTGTGGTGATGGAAGTGTTCAGTAACTTGACTGTAGTGGAGACACAATCCTACACATGTGATAAAATTGAATAGAACTAAATACATGCTCACAGTTGCATGTGTACAAGTACAATTGGAGAACTATGAATAAAGTCAGTGTGTGTAGTATCAAAGTCAATATCCTGGTTGTGATACTATACTATAGTTTTTACAAAATATTACCATTGAGGGAAACTGAATAAAATGCATATGGTATATCTTTCCTGTTCCTTAGAAATGCATGTGTATCTATAATTATCTATACTTATCTTAATAAAAGTTTCAATTAAAAATTATTGAGATGGAGGTAGGGTGCTTGCCTAGCATGTATGAGGTCCTGAATTCCAATCTCATCACCACAAAAAAATTGAGGACCCAAAATACTTTTTCTATGTAAATTATTTCTATTTATATGTGCTATGTTCAAAATTAAAACTGAGAAAATAATTTTAAAAAATTCACAAACACACATTTCATTAGCCACTAGAACAATGACATCATTACATATCATGCAGATTTTGGGAAACTCCAATGTATACTCATGAGAGAATGAGAATGAAAAAGAAAATAGACAACATCTTAATATTGTTATGAATGTAATTTTGATCTTGCAAATGCCCCTCCAATGGTCTTAGGGAAGGAGTAACCAATTCATCCCAGTTTGCCTGGGATTTTTCTGGCTTTAGTCCTGAACTCCTATAAAAACAAGTATTGTTTGCTTGAGACCTATCGAGTTTCAAAACTAAAAGTCCCACATTCAAAGGACTCTTGATGCTTACAAAACTTGGTTAGTTGTTATATATATTTATGGACCTTTTGGAGGCTCTTGGACAAGAATGTGTGCAATCCTTAAATAGGAGGAATTCCCAATTCAGTGCTATTATCTCACCATCACCTAGGTTTTGAATATCTTTACACTGCAACTTGTTAGAAACTCCCCTTTCCCTGGCCTCATTGTTTGCTCAGTTTCCCTTTATGGTTCATTCCACATTCTCCTCCTCACTTTGGATTCTCTAAATAAGATATTTTTGAAAATGTTTTGTGACCCCAAAAAGTGTCATCATAATCTAAATGTGTACCATTGTTTTTCTGATGATTATCTTTTCAGGTCAGGTTAACCTGGTGCAAGTGACCATCCCAGACAGTTTCGTAAATGTGACTACTGGATCTGATGTCACTCTTCTCTGCTTCTACACCACCACTGTGGCCTCCACGGACAAGCTGTCCATCCAGTGGTCTTTCTTTCATAAGAAGGAAATAGAGCCACTTACTGTAAGTTCCTAACCTCTTCCCCTTTGCTAGTTCTGACTGAAAACTGTTGGGGTAATTATGTGAAGGAATGATATGCCAGTGACAACAGTGACAGAACCTGAGATACAAAGTTTGAAGATAGATGTCTAGGGAAGACCATCATGTAAGTGAATTTGCCTTTGTGTTCTCTTCATATTGTTTTATACCTGTTATCTCATTTATGTATAGAGATAACAGGTATAAAACAATATGAAGAGAACTGTGTGTACCATGTATTCTATACTAGACAGAAATGTCTTCTCATGAGTGAAATGAATAGTAGTTCTGAAAGAACATCCCCTCCAAATATCTCCATACTGTCTCAAAGACATTGGATCAATTGCAAGTCCTAATTAATCTGCAGATCTCTTCATCATTTAATATCTTGGATCTATCTGTTAAGGGAACTGGCTCTTTGAACCAGACTAAGTACTGACAGAAGGAAACTACTTATATGGGTAGAGAGGGAGCCACAGTAGAGGTCAACCCTAGGTAAACAAGGATAGCATAAAGCTAGAGGCTCTAAGTTCTGGGGGGAAAAATCGCTAGAGGATGGTAGATAAACATCAATAGGGGAGGATTATTCCACAGGCAAGGTGCCTATTCCCAGATTTTATTCATCCACCCTTGAGGGTAAATCCTTCTTTAAATTAGCAAAAGGATTAAAATTGTATTCTCACAGGTATGTGTGTGCATGTGTTCACATGTGTACATGAGCACATATGCAAAAATGCCCATATATACCCCTTGAAGAAAAAGGTCTTTAGCTTTCACCAAGTTTTCAAAAAACATGCATGAACTAAAGTGGAGTTTAGAGAAGAGATCAATCAGTGTGGTTTGGAATATGCAGTTATTTTGAGTCTTGAAGGAAAGGAAGGGTTCAGTTAGTAGAAAGATAGAGGGAGAATAAGTTGAGTGAGCTAAGGAAGGCCCAGGGGCAGAGGTGGAGGGGAAGGAGGGCATTGGAGGAGGCACACCTTGGGAAGTGTTGCTTCAGCCAGTAATGTTCAGTGCTTAATCCTTGCTTTTACTAGAAATCCTAATCATTTGTCAGCAGGAAACACCATTCAGGGGAAGATTCCATCAATGTCACTATCTAGTCAAATAATTTGCTTAGTACTGGTTACCTCGGACAGATATTTGAATCACTCCGTGCCTCTCTTTAAAATATGATACAACAGCAATACTCAGGAGAATTAATTGACATAATGCATGTGAAAACATTTGGGAAAAATATAAAGCCCTCTAAAGTTTATCCCATGTAAACACCATTATGATTAGCAGCAGCAGTAGTACCACCACCACTAATAAAAACAGTTTTTCCACCAGTTTCCATCACCCAAAATGTCCTGACCTTGCATGTTGGAGCCAAGTAAGAAATTATCAGTTTCCATTGCAAGTTGCTCTCGCTTTGAATGTGGATGGCAATAATCACATGATCTTTTTAAAATCCTATTTTCTGACTAGTCTTTTCAACAAACTCTTCATCTGTAGGCTTGAAGTTCTTCTCATTTTTCCAGTAGGGACTGAATTTACAGAGTCTTTGCTAATATATTTTATACTTGATACTCAAATCAAGATGGCCTCACCTGCCTGGAGGCCAGGCAAAGCCAGTCTGAGTTCAAAAGCCCAAATTCTTCTATATGCCTCCTTGACAATGGAATTCACAGGGCCACTTCTTCTTTGAACTATGTAGCTAGTGAGGGAGGAAGCTTCAAAGCCAAAGGGTATTGTGACCACCAGTGAGTACTATTTTTTTTTTTTTAGCTCTAAGAATGAACGGGAAGATATGATTAAACTGACTGTGGATTGAGCTCAGGGCACCTCTTAGAAGAACATTGAAAAGAAAATCCATTAACAAATAGGTATTTAATAAGTAGTTTATTTACTTGCCATTTGACTCATTCTTCAGATGTCAGGTACAGCTGCAGCAAATAATTCAAGATATTTACTCTTTAGGGATGTCCAAGCCAAATGAGGTCCTCTCTACTGAGCTGCTGAGTCAGAGAACATGCTCCCTGATCTTAAAACTGCATGAGATCTGTGTGCTATGCTTGGGTTTTAGCCATATGGAGGACAGGATAGAGTAGAAACATCTCTTAACTTGAGAACAGTGAAAACCAACCCCCATAGCACAAACCTCCTCCTCCTGTTTTCCTTCAACTCACCCTGACCAGATCCTCATTATAAATATTTGAAGTCTCTGTTTTTGGAGAATGGAAACCCCTTCCCTCTCTCCCCATATTCTGCAGGCATGTACTTCTCTGTGCTTTCCCAAATGAGTAGCTTTAGAGCCCCATTGGAAATCTCCTGACGGATGTCAGTTTATTGCTGTACCACTTACTTACTGGTTGGTTGACCTTACAGAAGTCACTTGACTTTTCAGAGATTTAGTTTTTCCATCTATAAAATGGAACTACATACATACCTCATAGCTTTAATTAGAAGATTAAATGAGATAATGCTTGTGAGGCACTAGGAATCCTTCCACACTGTAGCATTCAGTGAATCTGAGCTAATATTAGTGCCACTGCCACTCACAAAAAGGTGATTTTGCAAAATTCTTATCCCCCTCATGCTTTGGTGTACTAGAGGGACTGGGAAATGGGAACAGGGAACCCAGCCTAACAAGATACACTTAGTATAACTGAACGGCTGAGACAGAGCTCTTCAGGGACATTGTGGCCCTCACTGGCTCACAGATCCACTGTCTTCAGGGTCTCTGTGGCTAGAAATAGACCCTAGACACCTTTTGCACTGCTTCATGTCCCTGAACAGAGATTCTGCTCAGTCAAGGGATTGCAGACTTCCTGGGTTGAGATAGTATTTTTCAACATGGGAATTGGCCTCCATTTCAAGACCCTTTCCTCTTTGAGCACTTCTATGCATTCAAAATTCTGTAGGGCATGCAGTATGCTAATCTATGGATTGCTGGTGGGACATTTTGGGGATGCTAGAAAAACACTTTTGTGTTAGTAGACAATTCAATGATATGGGAGTGAGATGTTGCCAGACTGACCACTGAGTGATTCATTTCAACTCCTGGGTTGATACGATAGTATAATTCAGCTCTCAGATCCACCCATTTCTGCTCAAACACAGCATGGCTCGTGCCTCAATACTGAGGGTTTGGAGGAAAAGGCAGTCAGTCAGTGTCTAAAAATGGCGCATACAAGAGACGCTCGGGGAAGATGTAGCTGGACCTCTCAGGTAAGAACACCTGTTGGTGTACTACTAGACTCCTTCACTGTTTGCAGTCTCTAGGGCACTGGCACAAGCTTCAGGAGTGGGATGGAAGGGTCTGAGTTTAGTGAAAATCCGGATAAGCACAAACCCTTGGCAAAACTGGAAAAGTCTTGATTTCACCTTCTCATATCCACACCTAGAACACTTTTCAGCCTCCTTCAAAAGTTTCAGGGCCCTATCGCTGCCCTCATCTGGGCAGTGACCAGCTCTTGCTACATGTCCATCTTCTCCTCCTCCCCCAAATTGTTGTGTTAAAGTAGAATTGAATCAGAGACCTGGTATTTCTCAGATGATGTTATTTCTTTGTAACTGTCCCATCTAGGGGGTTCCTTTGGTAAGCAGCAACTACAAAAGTAACCCACAAGTTTTCTGACTCAGAGACAAGAATATTCATTAGCATGGTAGTCCGTTTAGAGATGGCCTCTTCTCATAAAATTTGGACAGTTTCAGATAGTCAGTTCTTTGGCAGGGAATCTCAGCTGAAAACTCTGCACCTGGTAGGCTAGCATGGAAATTTTGGACGGTCTGATGGCCCTCGGGTTTCACAGAAGGCCTCTTCTTCCGCCTAGCCTATTACTGGTAAATTTACAGAATTCACCTGCCCATGAACAGAATACACATTGACCCTCCTTAGCATGAGTCTCTTAGACAATACTCTTCTAGAATATTTATAATGGAAGGAACCCTTTGACACACTCATATTCCCAAAACATGCATAAATTGTACAACATCTTTCCAAGGACTTAGTGCCCTCATGTTATGTGGCTTCTCAGATTTTCCAACCTGGTCTGATCACTAGAGTTATGTTAAAACATTAGAATTATGTTAAAACAGAGTTATGTTAAAACATTTTTCTAATGTTGGTATATGGGGGAGTTCCATCACCTCAGGGGCATTTTATAAAGGAGAAGGTATTGATTTGATTGTTAGGACTTGGAGTCACTACAGGGATTTAGTGGGTGCTGGTAAAGATGCTAAATATCCTGCAAAACAGGACAGACCCACACAAAAAACTGCCTGACCAAATGCTAGTATCACCCTTATTGAGAAATGCTATAAATCTTCCCTCCCTCCCCACCAAAGTTACCTATTTTGTGTCCCATTCCTAAAAGTCTCTATATTTGCTATATCTGATAAGTGAATTTAACACTAAAGTGCTGGGGAGTGGCAATAGCTTATATTGTTGTCTTTCAAAGAAAAGCACTTAAGCTGGAATCTTCTATGACTTCACCCAAAAGTAGCAGATGGTAGGCTGGTAAGAGAGTGGTTTGAGGGCATGAGAGCCTTTCTTTTGGTATTTTATTTCCTCCATATGCAATCCCAACCCAGACCAGAGAAAATTCTGGGCTTGAGACCTTTGCCACCTAACCCTCTCCCCTTGGCTAGCCTCTCTATGGGAAGTACCAGAAAGCAAGAAGCTTCAAGGGAAATAATGTGTGGTTTGTTGTGGACTTCCATGCCTTCCACATCTCCCAAAGGAAACTGCAAAAGCAGTTCTGGAAACTAAAGGCATTTAGTAACTCCAAGTCTGACTCAAATAGAAAGCAGATGAAATTCTTTCAACCCTTCTTGTTTATATACCAAGTCACTAGTTTGAGAGCAGTGGCATAAAGTTGAAGAAACATCTTTTAGGACAAATCTGACTCCCAGATGCACAGCATCGTGTGACTAGGAACTTAACACAGTAAGAGCTGAAAGCCTGCTCTGCAAAGAACTCAGAGGCCTGCAGTGCAGCTGGCAAATGTCAAGGGCATCATGTAGTGAACCTGCTTAGTGTGGGAAGCATCAGGCCAGTGAATAATGCAATTGGCAAGAGGAAGATCAGACTGGAATGGGATTGAATGGCTCCCAAGGGGAAGGTTGCCTGAAAATCATCTTCCTTGCCTCAGGCAGGAAGGACTGTGAGTGCTACCTGAATATATTCAGTGGGAACGGAAGGTGTGAGTTCTAGGTCTGAATGTAAATTGATTGTGTAACTTTGGGAAACGCTCTTCCACTACTGGGCCCTCATTGGCATCTGTAATAGAAGAGGATGAATCAGTTTGCAAATAGGAGGCCTCTGGACTAGATTTGGCCAGTGGACATATTTTGGTTAGCTCTGTGTTTTTGTTTCCACAGTGTGCACTGGCTCCCCATTCACCACAGTTCCCACCATCCCTTATGATCCCCCCAATACCCGCCAGTCTCTCCCAGCCATTTCCCCATATTTAGAATATTCACCTAGCTCCTAAAGTTTCCTTAGCCTTAGAAACCACGAACTAAGTGATCTCAAAGAGCGTTTTATAACCAATGTGATATTGTGACTCTACACATTAAACTCTAGCATCACCAAGGGAGCAGGCAGAGAGGACCTTGGAAGAGAACAGTGCTGTTTGCTATGAACAAAGGCACAAAAGAGAAAGTGGGCAAAAAAATTAACAAGCACTCCTTAAGGGAACACTGGGATGAATTTTCTTAAAGCAGGACATCTTCACCTCCCACTCTACCCTACCAAGGATGTGGCCTACTGAATATTGGAGGCTTTTCCTGGACCTCAATTGCTTTAATATCTAAATTGACAGTAATATGTCTTTGAAAAGTTTACAGGCCACATAGGATCATGGGTTGGACTTTGGTCATTGTTCAGCTTTGATTTTTAAAAGAGTTATTCTTTTGTGGAAAATAGAACCAAGTTGCAGTGCTTCCTATGTGATTAGATAAGCAGTTTCAGGAAAATGGTTCTTTCTTTTTTCTTTACAAAGATAGTGTGACAGAATTGACTTCCTCTTAAGGAAACCCCCTCCATCTATGTATTTAGCTGCCATTTAGCCACTTTCCCTCTCACACAACACCCGGAGGCCAAGATGATTTTAGGTCTCCATTATTATTCCTCCTTCCTACCTCCGATACCATTTATTGTTATTTATGACAGGAGAAAAGTGATTAGACTGTAGCGTCAAGAGATAGGATAGAAGGATGGTAAAGTTCTTTTTCATGGGTAAGTTACAGAACCAGGACCTCATTGCTTATTTGCTAATTTTACCTCAATTTATGCCCAACTAAGAGAGTTTCGCAGTGGCTTCTTTTCGTGTCCTAATTCTAGCCTAAAATACACTCTATTGGGCCTCTGATCTCTGTAGAAACAAGGACTTTTTCACTTGGATCCTCTGAATTTCAGGCAGGACTGATGTATCTCATTGTTATGTAATCAGTCGTAGGGCTGACCTGTACCCAGTCTTCTTGGGGACAAAGAAAATAGCCAGATGTTTAAGTTCTAAAGGGATTTATTGATGGACAGCAGGCTGTATTCCAGGTAAGAGGCAATGGAGCCTCAAATTGTTGATCAGAAAGTGAATACGCCAGGGTGGCACATGCCTGTAATCCCAGCAGTTTGAGAAGCTGAGGCAGGTGGATTGCGAGTTCAAAGTCAACCTCAGCAATTAATGAGGGCCTAAGTAACTTACAGAGACCCTGTCTCTAAAATATAAAAGGGGCTGGGTATGTGGCTCAGTGGTTAAGCACCCCTAAGTTCAATCCTTGCTACAAAAAAAGTGAATAAGGTAAATGGCTTTTGAAATACTGACCCCCCCCCACCGTCTCACTTGAATACCTTGAGTTAATACCTCTAGTTTATAAACAAGATCACTCTGAGACAAAAGGCCTCTGGTTCAGTAGGTGTGAATTATGAATTATAAATGGCTGTAGTTAGGGCAGGAAAGAAAGCATATTGATGTTAGAAAAAACAGAAGAGACAGTTATTTTTTACATAAATTTGCTTGGTTCTTTCATTTTGCCCTCCAAATATATCTTTCTGTGTTAGTTTTAATATATATTGACTTTCTGCTTAAAGGAAAAGACATTTAAATTTATCTAGACAATATCTTTTGATTTTCTGATTACTTTCTGTCTTTGATCAGTCAATTAGGTAAACAGCTGGAATTAGGTGAACTGAGCTCTAGTCCTGTCTCAACTGTTAATTTTGTGTGTGATATTTTTTTAAAACTTCTCTGGGCTTCAGTTTCTTCTGGAAAGTAAGGGGACTGAATTAAACGAACTGTAAGACCCTTCTAGTTGATTTTATGAAAATGATTAGTCTCTTGGACTAAGGCAATACCAATTTATTGAACAATAAACAACAATCACTGAATGCCTCACATTCATACAAAACTGACAAAATACATACACAGCACATATATATTATGAAGGGACCTCAGGGATTACTTTGCACAGTGATTCCCAAGCTTTAGTCACTCATGTGTCATCTTCATAATTTTTGTTGTATTTGTGGAACACCAGTATTATTAATTACTTAATGTTTTCTATGCTGACTTGATTTCTTAGAATCTTACAAAAATCTGCCTTAGTCTAACCAAAAGTAACAATATACATGAAGCTGCATATTTGATGTGTTAGATATGTCTCTTTCAAACACACATTAAAATTAGTAGATTTTCATTTAGGTACTATCTGAAATCAATTAAAGTGGCTATACTTGGGGAATACATATCATACTTTGGAAAACATTGTTCTGGTTCCTTGTTCAGATGTGGAAACTAAAGGTTAGAGAGATTAAATAACTTTGTTTCTTATCACAAAGCAGGTTGCCATGGAGGCATGACTAGAGGCCACCTCCCCTGCCTATGCCATAGTCAGAGGTAGAGCACAGCCAGAGGGAGAGCTGTGGCCAAAACCCAGTCCATTTAACCATTAAACCAGACCTCTTTTTACCACATCATATTGTTCCCACAGTTCCTTAGACTAATTATGAACTAAGAATCCATGTTCTTTAATGGGACTAAAATGGGACTAGAATCCAGATCTTTCTTAAGCCTAGTAAATAATAATAATAATAATAATAATAATAATAATAATAATAATAATAATAATCCCTTTTGGCTTAAGATGTGTCATTTGATCTTTCTGTGTCTGAGTTCCCTTATTTGACATGGAGAGAAAGATGGTAGATACGATTGACTAAGCACTTCCTAGGCCTTATACTAGCTCATGCTGTTTCATACTCAGGAAACACTAGGAAGGATTAGGGCCAGATGATTTCTCAGGAATGTTTCTGTTCTGAAATCTGACACTTCTTTTTTTTAATTTTTAATTTGTTTTTATTAGTTATACATGACAGTAGAATGCATTTATGCACTTTGATATATCATACATAGATGGGATATAATTTCTCATTTTTCTGAGTGTACATTTTGTAGAATCACATTGGTCATGCAGTCATATATATACATACAGTAATAATGTCTGTTTCATTCTACTATCCTTCCTAACCCCACATCCCTTTCCTCGCCCCTCCCTTCACTTCCCTTTACCTAATCTAAGGTAACTCTTTTCTTCTCTAGTGCCCCTCCCCATCTTACTGTGAATTAGCATCCACATATTAGAGAAAACATTTGGCCTTTGGTTTTTTTGGGATTGTCTTATTTCGCTTAGCATGACTTCTCCAACTCCATCCATTTACCAGAAAATACCATAATTTCATTCTTCTTTAAAGCTGAGTGACGAAATCTCATACTTTTAACAAACAGAGGAAATCCAGGTTTGCTTATTCGGAGGCATTTGGGTGTATGAAAAGAATATGAACATCCGAATTTTTAGAGACATCAGATACTATTATTGAGTAAGGTAAACTCAAATCAAAAGTTTATGAAGTGGGGCTGGGGGTGTAGCTCAGTGGTACACAATTGCCTAGCATTTGTGAGGCACTGGGTTCTATTCTCAGCAGCACATAAAAACAAATAAATAAAATAAAGATATTGTGTCCATCTACAACTAAATTTTTTTAAGTATATGAAGTGGTAAAAAAAATGACAGTTTTTATTTCCCATCAGACATTTGGTCCTGTTTAACAAGTTTCCTTCAGGAGGACTCAGCACGTGAGCATTTTGATCTCCTAGACCAGGTTTAAGAGTTAAATCATGTCAGCTCCAAGCTGTCCCCTCCTCTTAGAATAGGCATACAAGCTCCTGCCAAGATGACATTACAGAGTTTATCTGAGGTAATGACTGTGAACAGTTGTAAGAAAATTAAGTTCCCCCATGAACTGACAAAACCTTGGTCACAGAGACCTATTCCCCAGAGAAGAAAGATGCTGCTTCTTATCAAAGGTAATATGAATAGAAGGAGCTTCCAGATAACTTATCCTAGTCATGGACACTCTCTAGTTCTCATTTCTGTTATTTTCTGTCCTAGGTTTACTATTCTGAAGGTGGAGAAGGTCAGGCCTCTGGACAATTCAAAGATCGAATTATAAGGTCCACCATTCCAGGTAATGCGTCTATCACTATATTGCGTATGCAGCCAGCAGACAGTGGAATTTACACCTGTGATGTCAACAACCCTCCAGACTTTGTTGGCAATAACCAAGGCACTCTGCACGTCACTGTGTTAGGTATGGACACTTTTATCTTCTTGGAGCAACTCAGGACAATGAATGACCAGGGTACCTAGTTATGATGCTAAACAGATCTCTGGGGATAAATATACTTACTGTTCCTTTCATTACCGGGGAAACAGAGACACACCACCAACTCAACCTGTACAAGAGCACTGAGGAATCATTAATAAAACATGTAGAAGCAATTTCCCAAACAAAAAGGGCTGTCAAAATGACAACAGTAGATAATCCAAACTCCAGATAACTCTATTTCTGAAGAATACAATGAGAACAGATGAGTCAAGTCACTGTCCACCCCAAATGATCACAAGCAACTATTTCAGAGGGAACTTCCATCCAATTAGAGCCAGACTTACCTGGAGGAGACAAATGTCACATTATTACTGCTCCAAAGTCTACTACAATTCCATGAAATCCTAATGGCAGGATTTTCTCTTTTAAAAATGCTCATGCTATTTGGAAAAGGGAACACACATTAGGCCATTGTTAAGAACTTCTGTATATACATATATTCATTATATGATGTTAAGCAAGTCATATCTGCTCTCAAAATGAATTTGGAGTAGTTCCTTGTATTCAGGATTTATTGACTGCCAACTTTGTCCCAGGATGGATAGGGTCATCATAAGTGATGGAGACATGTTTTCTGCCTTTAGAGAGCTCCAAATTTTGGTGATCTCTAGTGATCCTTCCAACTTTTATCTGACAGGACAATGGGGGCTAAACCCTGCAGGGCCTGGGAGTGGGAATTACTAAAGGGTGGAAGGAAAGGACTGGCAACACTTACTGCCTACCCAGTTTACTAAGCATTTCCTACTTCTAAATAATCCTAAATGGAGTTCATGTAGTCATTGCTCTTCTCCAACTATGTATATACATCATACAAAAGGATGCATTAGATCAAATCAGTAATAAGAGTTGCTTGGAGAAGCAGCAATTGGTAACAAGGTGCATACCTAGGAGAACTGCTCACAATTGCCTTAGCTTGCCACTGATATGATGGCATACAAGTACAGCTAATGTTTACCATGAGGTTTGCCACTGCATCTAACCACCTGGAAAAGAGGGAAAAGTACCCAAGAGCTATTGTTTAAGATTGGATTAGTTCAACCCTTTGTGTTTTACCTTGCTGAGTACTGTGCTAGGCATAGGGGTACAGAGAAAGAGAAAAGAGTTTATGTTCTAGTTTGAAAGACTAGCCATATACATGGGAACTAAATGGTGTGGTATGAGTGCCAAAGCATCAAGATGGGAGTCAAAAGACCTAAGTTCTAGACCTTATTCTGTACTCAGTGATTTCATGCAAATCAGTTCATTTTTCTCTGGTCATTGTAAGATGGGATTATAACTGCCCTGTCTTCTTTAGTGATTTGTTGTAAAGATAAAATGAGATATAAGCGATTAAAGAGCTCTTTAATGTTCAAATAATTTGAGAGATTAATTCTCTAACTTATTTTGTTTCTCCCTGACTCCAGAGTGTTCTGAGCAGAAGCAATCTAAAGAGGCAAAGCTTCTTCAGAAAGGACTTGGAAAGAGCCCTGAGATAAACTTAGACAAGAAGGTTGATGTTCTTAAATTTAAGCTTCAGAAGATTCAAATCAATTTCTCTAAGAAGTTGAGGGTAACTCTCCTGTGAGTTATTCTTTCCAATGAGTCTTTGAGTCAGCTAATTCCTGTCATGACTGTTTCATGACTTTACATTCAGCTAGGACCCAGGCAAGGAAAGAGACTAAAGGGTCTATAGATTTCTTTGTTCAGGAAGTCTCAAAATTTGTATCTTTATTCATTGGGTGAAAAACAAGCCATCCTACAAATTTAGCCTTTCCAGAAATTTCAACATGGCTAATTTATCTTTTTTAACTTTTATTTTATTTATTCATTTTTTAATGCAGTGCTGAGAATTGTACCCAGTGCCTCACACATGCAAGGCAAGTGCTCTACCACCGAGCCACATCCCCAGACCCTGGCTAATTTATCTTTAAAATGCAGAGAGTATTTGCAATTATCAAATCTCATTGCATATGAGCACCTATTCTGCTTGCTCTACTGGGGGTTTAGCAAGGTGGGTATAGGTGGATATGGGAGACCAATTGTGGAAAAAGATATTCATGCTTCCTTAATGGTAGCTCTTTGCAGTAAAGTGTCTTTCAGAGACATTTTATCATCCAGCAGTGAACACCAATCCCATATACAACCTGTGCATTCATGAATTAATTCATCAAATCCTGAGCACATGTGTCCGTAACAGTGGTTAACAATGAAGTTGGGAAGATGTAAAAGATAGGGTCCCAAACCTATAAAAGTTCAATCAAGTGAAGGAGACAAATATGTAACATAAAAGCTTTCTTTGGAGGTGTGAGAGGATAGTTGTAAGGGCACAAGGAAAAGATCTAAACGCTGTGAAAGGAGCCAGGTGTGGTGGTCACACCTGTAATCCCAATAGCTCAGGAGGCTAAGGCAGGAGGATCACAAGTTGGAGGCAAGCCTCAGGAACTAGTGAGGCCCTAAGAAACTTAATGAGAGCCTGTCCAAAATAAAATAAAATAAAATAAAAAGGGTTGGGGATGAAACTCAGTGGTTGAGCGCCTCTGGGTTCAATCACTGGTACAAAAAAAAAAAAGAACAAAAAGCTGTGTAAGGGGAACTAGAAAAGGCTTATTAAGGAAAGAGACTTTTATGCTGACTGTTGAAGGATGTGCAAGAGTGTGTCATGCAGAAAAGGGGCTGAGGTGGCAGGGTACAATTTAGGTGAAGGAAATGGCAGTAAGCAAAGAACCAGGTGGTTTGGATGAACATTCATTTGAAAGATTTCCATTAGTTATGACAACCTTGGAAAATCAATCTCTGAAAAATACCCAGGTCAAGTCTGAATAATTATTTTGTGTGCATTTGGAATAAGCATTATCTCCCTTTTGCAATTTGGCACATAAAAATAAAATGATTAATTTAGAGAAGGTTTGAGAACACACTGAAGCAATTTCATTTATTTTCTGAGGTAAGACTTCTCTTCCAACACCAATTCTGTTGAAAGCAATAAACCTAAAGGGTAGATCAATGGCTTTGCCAGTGAAATATCTAGGTTCTACAGGGGACTTTAACCAGATAACATGTCAATTCAATTTTGATTCAGTAGTTTTGGAAAATATGTAGATTTGGCACTTGTTTCAAAGTGATTCACTAATTGTTTTGTCAATAAAAATAAAAGAAAGATGTGTTTAGCAAAAAAGTTTAAAAAGCCTATCTGGGTTTGAATCTAGGCTCAAGGAATGAGAGCAAGTCATTACAGGTTTCTGTCTATAATTAGTTCAAGTCTGACTTTTTCCCAAGGAAACACCCATATTTAATTTTTGTTCAAATTGTTATATCATGCTGGACAGTTATAAAATACTCATATTTTTTAAAAGTGGAAATTCTAGTGATAGTTGCAATGGACTCCTGGTCAAATGGCCTAGTTCAGGATAGGCAGACCAAGTTGGAACTTGGGAACATCTGAGAAAACCATTGGTAAGGAAGATAAAATCAAGAGCTAAGTAGAACATCCTTTTCATCAAAAGACACGTTTCCAAGATATGACTAGTGAAGTGTTTCAAAGTTATAACTGGATGCATTTTTCTTCTTGCTTATGTGCACAAGAAGTTAAAGTTTGAGATGGCTGAATAGAGCAGGAGTTGATGGAAGATTAAGTTCAGTAGCAGAAATTAGTACTCTCCATGCTAACAGAATTCCATGTGCAAGGCTCTATATACATAATTTTATTGAATATTTGGATCAGCCAGAGGTTAGATATTCTCTCATTCTCATTTTCCAGATGAGTCAGCTGGGGTTTGGTTAAGTTAGGTAACTTGTCCAAACACATCTAGGGTGAAGTTGTAGAGCCAGTATTCTATTTGGGACCAGAGCTTTACTCTTAACTATCATGTTGCAGGTTAAGAGATGAAGGGCTGAGTATTTAAGATGTAACTTGTCTAAGATAGAGAACATCAGCCTTTGGAGGGTTTTATATTCAAATTAAGATAAGGTAAGGGCAACAGAATAGAACAGACAATTTGATTGACGTATGTACATTCCATGTATGTATTATATGTCAAAATGCATTCTACTGTCATGTATGACTAAAAAAATAAATAAAAATTTTAAAAAATAAATTAAAAAAGATAAGGATGGTGAGCTGGTCAAGGTGGTGCACACCTGTAATCCCAGCAGCTGGGGAGGCTGAGGCAGGAAGATTGCAAGTTCAAAGTCCGCATCAGCAACTTAGCAAGGCCCTAAACAACATAGCGAGACCCTGTCTCTAAATAAAAAAAAAAATATATATATATATATATATAAAGTGCTGGGGATGTGGCTCAGTGGTTAATCACCCCTGGGTTCCATCCCTGGTACCAAAAAAAAAAAAAAAAAGGGAAGGTGAGTTGGAAAGTATAGAACTTTTGATCATTATCTGTGTATATAATTAAGGATAGAATGAGCTGTGCAAAGTAAGATGAATGGGGAGATTCAGTTTCAGTTTTCCAGCTTCTTCATCCAGGTATTTTCATAATTAGCTAAAAATCAGTCACATACCAAACCACCCTCATTATAACTCCTTCCTCCTCATCATTCCTTTCCCTAAAGCCTGCTGTTCTACATGCATTCTTTATTTCAAGTTATGGCAAGATCATGTACCCAGTTGTCCAATTTAGGAGCCTGGAAATCACCATAGATCCCACAATCTTCCCTCATTCCCCATATACAGTTGCCTCTAGCTTAGTACCTCTTGAAACTTTCTCCTCTTCTCCCTTGGTTTAGGCACCCCCAATGTTAGAGAGAGCCATCTAAAATGTTAAAATAACCATCATCACTAACCTGTTTAAAGTCTTTCCATGATCTCCCTGCTCTTAGAATACATGGACTGTAAAGCTCTCCAAGGTATGACTCCAGACACTCTCTAACTTCATCCCTCATCACTCTCCTCTACCCAACTTCAGAAATGTGCCAATGTTACTTTTATATCCCTGGAACTTAGTCCAATGTCAGGTACACAGGAGGTACATAAATAAATGCTTGGCGTGGAGGCAGAATAGAGATTGCATAGCTGTGTAATGTGCACACCCAAAATAGGTTTCCCCTGCTGATGAGAGACACAGGCAAATTCAAATCTCCCAACCATTTTGTGTCACTCCCAGATGAATAAATGAAAAAAAAGACCCATAAAGGAATAAACAAATATAGTATTAGTAGAACTATTTTTAGAGTGAATAGAAACAGTTTATCTCAAGTTATTTAAGGGTTCTATTTTCCTTTAAAACTGATTTTCAAGTATAAGCTATGTTCATAGTTGTTTAGTGTTTGCTTACATTTGGCTGTTTTATTAAAGGCATATTTTAAGACACAATGCGGAAATTCATGGTTATAAATCTGGGGAGGAGGCAGACAGAGACACTAGTTGAATCTTAATGGCCTCCTGACTAGAATGTCCCAGCACCTGAAGTGCTCTACTCCCATCTGGTGGTACAATCAGAAAACAGTCAAAATAAATAAATAAATAAATACATACATACATACACACACACACACACACACACATATTTATGTATCACTCATATACCACTATATATATAATTTTTAATAAACATATATTCTGCAAAATGAAAGTGAAGAAGTGACTGCAGTAGTCACAGGCTGCCATGCATCCTGGCAGGAGTTTTACTCTTTGCAATTGCCTTACAGTCAAACCTTCTAAGCCACTTTGTAGCATCCAAGGAAGACCAGAAATGGGCCATAGTATTTCTCTGACTTGCCTCTCTTCTTTTGGAACACCATCTCCTGTGTACCACTGGTATAAACTCGAGGGAAATAATGCTGTGCCAGTGAAAGAAAGCTTCAGTAAGTATCACCTTTGGCAGTCCTTGGCAAGGCCTGGTTTGGGGGGTTGACTGATGGCATATGTGGCTGGCTGCTCAATATTGTCTTTTTCTTGGTTGGGGGAGAGGAATTTAAAAAGAATACCTGTCTCCCAACATAAGCCTCTGGTCTTAACTACTCCCCAACTTCCAGAAGCCAGCTCTAGGTATAGTTCTACATGGTGGTAGATGGGCTACCTTTGGAACAGGCCCAAGGGAACTAATTGGTCCCTGGACATCTTATGAAAGGGAGGGCAATATGGGGGAGTGGGTGGGCATTGAATGATATATTACACTGACATGATTCGTACGTACCTATATAAGATATTTTAATAGTCTATTTCCTGGTTTTGACAGACCCAAACACTGGAATTTTGGTTATTGGAAATCTGACAAATTTTGAACAAGGTTATTACCAGTGTACTGCTATCAACAGTGTTGGCAATAGTTCCTGTGAAATTGATCTAACCTCTTCACGTGAGTTGGTCATATATCTTTAACAGTTTCTCCTTGAGTCTAGTAGCCTGGACCTGTACATTAATTAGGATCTCTGGTTGGTTGTTTCTGCCTCTCTGGAGATTTGTGTGCTTTATTTATAGATTGATATGATGAATGCTCATCCTAATATCTAATGCTTACATAAAGCTTAGTATGTTCCCTAAATTAATCAAATTGTTTAAGCTTTGCAAAAATCTCTAGGGAGAAGATATTGATATTTGATAAATGTAGCAATCTCATTGACGGTATCAGCCTGTATTTCTCTTTATGATGCTATTGGTATATTCAGGTGACACTGTAGCTATGTCAAACACAAAGTTCACAAATTTTCCAATTCTTAACTATTTGGTAAGATCTGTCCCTAATAATAATAATACTCTCACCCACAATCACTTTTATGTAACAAACACTTGGCCAGGTGCTCATGAGCATTATCTCACTCAATCCTCCCAACCATCTTATGTATGGAGGCAGAATATATTATTAGCCTTATTTTATTGAGGAAGACACTGAAGCTCCGGGAGTCAAATTACTTGCTCAAGGTCATTGAGTTAGTAACTGGTAGAGGCAGGTTGTCTCTGAACCTCAATCATCCTGTTCAAATGTGCTTACTTTCTCTCTAAGCACAATACTTATGAGCCCTGGAATTGTCAAATTGGATCCATCCAGGGGGCTAATTTTCTTCATTATTTGTCCTGAAGTTTACTCTTCATTCTCATATCACTTTCAAGTAAAACCTACAAGACATCTGGGGTAGAGCACTTGCCTAGTATGTGACACACTGGGATCAATCCCCAGCAGCACATAAAAATAGATAAATAAAATAAAGGCATCAAATTTAATGATTTCTGGAAGTCTTGGGATTAGGGATAATGCATTTTAAAAATAAACAAATATGAAAAAAAAGAAAAGAAAGGGGGCAACCAAACAAATACACAAATAAGGCAATTATTAGCTTTGAGTAAAAGTTTTTAAAAATGTTGTACAAGGAAGAATTGTAGTATGTTATGTTCTTTGTCTGTGTGCAGTATTTACGTGGTCATAATACTGCAAGCTTTGTTTTAACTAAAACTTGTGATAGATTGGGAGAATGTGGTGGGATTTGAGTGAAATGTTGTAAAAGAACTAAATTTCCAGGGTAGGAAATTTAAAAAAAAAAATGAAGATCAAAAAAGGTAGGACATTCCAGGAGAAGTACAATAGAAACACAGGGGCAAAGGTACTTTTAAAAAAGGATCAAGAGTGCTTGCCTGTAGTGATTGGGACCCAGAGATGGGGAGGAGTGGAGCAGAAGGTCTGCTGTTTTTGTTAGAAGTTTAGAACTATTTGACTTTTTAAATTATTGACTTTTAAACTTTTAAAATTATTAATTAAATTAATTCCCCAAAGTTAAAGGAATTATTCAGTGATTCAACTTGTCTCCCATCTCAAAATACAAGCTGTCCATCCTTGTTTGAGAAGAAGTGGATGGAGATGAGCCAGCATAAAACCCAGACATGTTCTTTCAGGGACAACACCTCCAGGCTTGAAGGTCTGGGGCTCAGCTGGATTGTCTCACGCTAATTAAATTTTTCCATACCCTGATGTAATAAACCAGATGCTGGTTTATCAAAATAGCCATATTCCTTCCTAGTAGCCAGAACGCACAAGGCTCCTCAGTGATCATGGACTATGTGAGGTTGAAGGTTTTTAAGAACCTATTTCATCTATGCTCTGAGAAAGCCTGGTGAAATGTCCCTACTTACAACAGAGGCATATTTCTGGTGACTAGATTGCAACTCCATGCTCTGTCTCTTCCTGTCTCCCTCTCTTTCTGAATAAATTAACACTGAACACTTTCTTCTCTAAACCCAACATCTAAAACAACCTTGTTTGTCCCAACTCAGCATATTTTTCTCTTTGTGTGTAAATGTCAATGGATTAAGCTACATAATCAAGCCAGTCATCTTGCTTCACTCACTCTAAATCCAACTGGCAGAGTTCTAGGGCTTTCTGTTCCATCAGTCTACAGGAGTTACTTCCTTGCTATGCGAATGTTCCAGATATTCTATACCAGTCACAAGCACACACATGACACACATGACATGACAATTTGTTTCCCTTTACTAAACATCTAGCTGTTTGTGTCTTCCAGACCCAGAAGTTGGGATCATTGTTGGTGCCTTGATTGGTACCCTGATAGGTGCTGCCATCATCATTTCTGTGGTGTGCTTTGCAAGGAACAAGGCAAAGGAAAAAGAAAGGAAGAGGAATTCTAAAACTACCACAGAACTTGAGTAAGTTCTCATTACTTGAATACAAACTTTTGGCTTGTTGTCTTCACTAGAATACAAACATTTTTCAGGCATATCTCTTTCAGTCAGTCAGTCATAAGCACTCCTTTTAGCATCAGATATCACAGGTATCTTTCTACTCATTGCTTTTACAAAAAGAATGATAGTGGCTACCATTTACTGAGTCCTGTGTGCCACACTCTGTTCTAAGCACATATGCACATCAATTCATTTAGCTACCAAGACCACACTTTTAGATCCAAGAAAACCTTTTATAATATAATGCTAACATACTTGTCTTTATAAAAGCACAGTCATAAACGTAATTTTAAATATTTTTTATATAACAAGAGGCTCATGATGGCAAAAGTGTCTAGGGATCATAGAAGTCATAATGTGGCCCTGCCATCAGCCCATGCTCTTGACCACTCTCCCGTTTCTTTAGTGAAGAACACACTCATTCATTTGTTCACCCATCTGCTTGCTTCCATAACTATGTGTTGGGTACCAACCAGGTGTCAAATGTGATGCTAGATGGAACCAAAGATAAAGATGAATCACAGCTGTGAATTTAGCCCTCAGAGACCTTATTAAATTCACCCTGATATTAGTTTTCTCAACTTTTAAACACGGTTCTGACATTCTTGAATTTTCATTATATTTTTGAGACCTAACCCTTTTGAACCGCCAAATGGACATACAGCATCTGACAGTGAGCCAGAATATCAGAATTAACAGATATCCTGAACAGTCTAGGAAGGACCTGTGTCACTGAAGCTATAGAGTGTATGGCTCCACATGAAATTTCAGATATCAAATCCCTAACTTGATCTTTTCTGGACCTTCTTTCTTGTAGACCAATGACAAAGAAAAATGAAACCCGAGAGAATGAAGCCATTCCAATGGAAGATGTTATCCAGCTAGAAGCAACTCTGCCACCCTCCACTCATGACACTGACCCTACTATCATCTTGGAACCAGACCATGAGCCTGCCCCAAAGCCAGAGCCTGTCCTAGCACCTGTCCTAGGAAAGGAGCCTGTTCAGATGCCTGAGATTGAGATTGAGCTGGAGCCAGAGCAGGTACTGGAGCTGGAGCCAGAGCCAGAGCCAGAACCAGAGACAGAGCCTGGGGTTTTGGTTGAGCCCCTGTGTAATGAGGAAAAGGATGTGATTAAGACATAAATTAGTGCCCTGAGTACATCATTCATCACTAAGGAACCCATTCATTGTATCTGGAATTCACTTGACCTAACCAGTCCACACCCCCTCCCTCCATTCTGACCAAGCCTCTTCTAACAAGGTGCTCATTTTTAACATGAATCCAAAATAAAAGGGTCAGGATAACTATTAAATAAATGCAAGGGTTCCTGCATCATCAATAGAGAATACCTAAAATTATACTAACATGCATAATAAATGACAAGGCAAGTGATTTCTAACTCATTTGAAAGAATTTTTCTGAAATATTCAGAAATCTTTCTTGTTTTTAGCTTTTCTTCATATGTTCCACATGCACACACGATAAGGTGGCATTAATTAGATTCAATATATTTTCTAGGATTAATTAGTTGTCAGGCTTCCCTATTCGTTGTTATATTTACCACTAAGAAAAGAATTTGACAGCACTATCTCATAGATTAGGAAAAAGTTCTTCAAAATCAACAGAGGTGTGTGTGTGTGTGTGTGTGTGTGTGTGCGTATTTAGCATTTAAAACCAGGTTTTATAATTGATACATTTATCCTGATAGATTTCCAAATGAATCATCCTGGTGACTAATATCTAAGCACAGCAGAATTTTAAAATAATCCAATATTTAAATGCCAAATACTATACAGGCAAACAATTAGAAGTATAATTTTCCTTCAGTGAATGCAAAGTGTTGATAGATGATGTACAAGTTAGCTTTGAATATAGGTATTACGTTATCACTGTGATGTTATTTTTATCTACTTTGAAGGGGCACACTAGGAAAGTGTTCTCAATGAACACTTCAGATCTATTTTAGATAATAACAACTACTTACAAAATCTGTTTTACTGTTGGTATACTCCACATTGATAAAGAGATGTTATTCTTGTGTATATGCTACATATTAACAAAAATGCATTGATATCTCCTTTTCTTCACTTGTGAAGTTTTTTCATGATCTTATTTCACTCATATCTCACCTTGAAGAAATTTACAGGTAGACACACTTTTTCACTTCTGTAATCAATTGTATTTTAAAACTTATTTTAAGGATCAATAAATAATACTCAATAAAATCTGAGTTTGATGACTCCGAAGGTAAATCCTTTCATAAACAACTTTATTGACATATAAATTATGTCATTAACAGCACCACATTTGATGAATTTTAAGTTTTGCATATCCACAAAACCATCATACCTATCTAGATAAGGATCTTCCATCACCCCCAAATACTCCCCCATGTCCCTTTGCACAATCCCACTATACCCTGCACCTCAGCAAACAATGTTTTCTTTTTCAGATTTTTATTTATTTATTTATTCATTTATTGGTTCTTTTTAGTTATTTGTGACAGCAGAATCCATTTTGATATAATTATACCAGCATGGAATATATCTTATTCTAGTTAGGCTTCCATTCTTGTGGATGTACATAATGGTGGGTTTCACTGTGATGATTTTATATATGTACATAGGAAAATTATGTCTGATTCATTCAACTGTCTTTCCTTTTCCTATCTCCCTCCCTTCCCTCCATTCCTCATTGTCTTATCTACTGAATTTCTACTTTTTACTCTGCTTTATTGTGGGTTAGCTTCCACATATCAGAGAAAACATTCAACCTTTGGCTTTTGGGGACTGGCTTATTTCACTTAGCATGAAATATCAGAACATCATTTTTCATAAAAACCATCCCATTCACAATAGCGTCAAAATATTTGGGAAGCAATCTAACAAAAAAAGGTTAAAGACCTCTATAATGAAAACTACAGAACACTAGAGAAGGAAATTGAAGAAGACCTTAGATGATGGAAAGACTTCCCATGTTCTTGGATAGGAAGAATTAATATTGTCAAAAATGCTTTCTATCTCTATGGATTAGTTTTGCCTTTTCTTTCCCTTCTTACAAATGGGATTACACAGTATGTATTTTTGTGTGTTTGACTTTCTTCTAAAGTGAATCCTTTTCAAGAGAGGTATGGATCACTAACTTATCACATCCAGATTTACATATAAAGAATTTTCTTAAACTATAAACTCTCTTCTCTATAGATCATACCTACATGCCAATTGAAGTAGAGTCTTTGTAGTTTTTAAGGTGGATTGAAATGGAAATTAACACTCATTTTTTCAGAGCCATGGAGAGAAGAGATAGCGAACTTATGTATTATCTTTGATCTGTCAATTTGCAGTCAGTCTCAGAGTTTTGAAGCATCTATAATTCCATTAACGGAAGACAGTGCTATAATATATGGTGTCTCATGGGTACAGACAGCAAAACGATGAAGGTCTTAAGAATGACCTAATAGGAGAGGAAGATGGCGGCGAGGGGAGTGCATTGCCCCCGTGTGCTGCTTCACTGTGTGGGAGTATGACAAGTCAGGACGGCTAAAGGATATCTTGTTAGGAATTTCCAGCAATAGTCGGGTGCTCCGGAACCTGGAGGAAGGATTTCCATCGCACGAGGATCGGCTACGGGGACTCAAACGCGAGAGGTTTGTCGCACGGAGGGTAACACTGCTTATTCAGCAAATCGCCCCGCGGCTAGAGTCTGCAGCGTGCGCTGGGATAGAGACGCAGGGTTACAGTGCTGCAGTTTCTGCCAGCCGCGCAAGCACCGTACTCAGGGCTGAATTCTGGGTTCGAGACGGGGGAAGGAAGCGGTCCATCTCGGTTCTCCACACCGGTCAGACCACAGAGGAGGCCAGCAGCCACCATGTTGGTAAACTGACGTCACCTTCCCTGTTTTCGACTGACCGCAGCTCATTCAGCCATAGAACAGGTAATTTCAGGCTGCAATTCGCCTGCGGCTTGCAGACAGATTGCTAGGGTTCAGCGCCTGGGTGCTGCTTAGAATCTGATCTTATCGGAGCGAACACCCAGCGCGGGGCGGCCGAGTTCCGGCTCCCGGAACCGTCCCGGAACCGCCCTGGCCCAGGGCTGCGGAGCCTGCGGAGGCTGCTTCTTGGACCCTGCTACTATCAGAGCATACACCAAGCACTAAGCAGCCGAATTCCAGCTCCCGGATCTGAGCCCGCGGGGACTGCTTCTTGGAGCTTACACTTATAGGAGCTTACACCGAGCACGGAGCGGCCGAGTTCCGGCTCCCGGAACTTCCCTGGCCCGGGGCTAGGAGCCCGTGGAAACTGCATCTCGGTCCGGGTCCTGCTGAGGGCCGGTCAGGACTCACCCGTTGTTTTGGTTGTCCGGCAAGGGGAACGAAATGCTGCCATTCGCATAGGATACCAACATGGCAGAGATCTGATGTCAGCAGAAAGCGGCGGAGGAGAGAACTTCATCAATACCAGCGGTGACATAAGCAGTTGGTCTCCTGGTAGGGGGGGTGAGGCACAGTCACCCGAGTCTCCTCAATTTGTCCTCGAGCCAGAGGGGAGGAGCCGGGCCGCCGCCAGCGCCCGGAGCAGGCCCAGCGGCTCGCCAGTGTGGTGACCGCATGACCCCAATTGGAGAGGGGGCGGAGCGGAGCCGCCACCCACACCCGCAAGGTGGGCAGACCCGCGACCCAGTGGTACATGGGCGTGGTAGGAGGGGCAGGGCAGAGCCGCCCTTCGCGCTTGCAAGGTAAACAGACCTGTGACAGCCTGGCGGGTCAGGCCCAGTGGCCTGCCAGTGTGGTACACACGTCACCCCAACTGGAGTAGGGGCAGACCAGATCCTTCTCCCACGCCCGGATCAGGCCCTGCCGGTGTGGTGGTCACGTGACCCCAATTGGAGTGGGGGCGGAGCGGAACCGCCACCCGTGCCCGCAGGGTGAGCAGACCAGTGATCAACCTGCAGATCAGGCCCAGGGGTCCGCAGGCGTGGTAGGAGGGGCAGGGCAGATCCGCCGTCCGCGCCTCCAAGGTAGGCAGACCTACAACAGACCGGCGGATCAGGCCCAGGAGCCTGCCGGCGTGGTACAAACACCACCCTAATTGGAGTAGTGACAGAGGAGAGTCGCCGCCCGTGCCAGGAACAGGCCCAGCGTCCTGCAGGCGGGGTAGTCACGACACCCCAATTGGAGTAGGGGCAGAGCAGAGCCTCCACCCGTGCCCGAAAGGTGGGCAGATCTGCGACCGACCAGCGGGACAGGCCCAGTGGCCTGCCGGTACGACAGACACGTCACCCCATTTGGAGTAGGGGCAGAGTAGAGCCGCCGCCCGCGCCTGCAGGGTAGGCAAACCTGCAACCGACCGGCGGATCAGGCCCGGTGGCCTGCTGGCGTGGTACACTCGTCACCCCAATTGGAGTAGGGGCAGAACAGAGCCGCCGCCAGCTCCCAGAACAGGCCCAGTGACCTGCCGGCGTGGTAGCCACAACACCCCAATTGGAATAAGGAGAGAGCAGAGCCGCCGCCCGCACCTGCAGGAAAGATACGCAAGCAGTATGAAAAGACAAGGAAAGAAAGGACCACAAGCAATGCAGGTCAACGCAACTTTAGAAGAGGTAACAGCTGCAGCAAATGGAATGTCAGATAAAGAATTCAGGATATACATGCTTCAGATGATCTGGAGTATCAAGGAAGACATTAAACAGCAAAATAAGACAATGAAAGATCACTTCGACAACGAATTACGCAAACAAATCCAGGAAGCAAAGGATCAACTATACAGGGAGATAGAGGTTATAAAAAACAAGCAATCAGAAATCCTAGAAATGCAGGAAGCAATAAACCAACTTAAAAACTCAATGGAGAATACTACCAGCAGAGTAGAACACTTAGAAGATAGAACATCAGACAATGAAGACAAAGTATTTCAACTGGAAAAGAACATAGACAGCTCAGCAAGACTGTTAAGAAACCATGAGCAGAACATCCAAGAAATATGGGATAACATTAAGAGACCAAACTTAAGAGTCATTGGGATACAGGAAGGTACAGAGCTCCAAACCAAAGGAATGAGCAATCTATTCAATGAAATAATACAAGAAAACTTCCCAGACTTGAAGAATGAGACAGAATCCCAAATCCTAGAAGCCTACAGGACGCCAAATGTGCAAAATCATAAGAGATCCACACCTAGACACATTATAATGAAGATGCACAACATACAGAATAAGGAGAGAATTTTAAAAGCTACAAGAGAAAGGAAGCAGATTACATTTAGGGGTAAGCCAATCAGGATAACAGCTGATCTTTCAACACAGACTCTGAAAGCTAGAAGATCCTGGAATAACATATTTCAAACACTGAAAGAAAATGGGTTCCAACCAAGAATTGTGTATCCAGTGAAATTAAGCTTCAGGATGGAGGATGAAATTAAAACCTTCCACGATAAACAAAAGTTTAAAGAATTCGCAGCTAGAAAACCATCTCTTCAAAACATCCTCGCCAAAGCATTACAGGAAGAGGAAATGGAAAATAACAATGAAAACCAACAGTGGGAGGTAGGACAGTAAAGGGGGGGGGAATAATCAAAGAGGAAAACAAACCATGTTTAGTAACAGAAATAAACAAATATGGCTGGAAGAACAACCCATATCTCAATAATAACCCTAAATGTTAATGGCTTAAACTCACCAATTAAGAGACACAGGCTAGTAGAATGGATCACAAAACAAGACCCAACAATATGCTGCCTACAGGAGACGCATTTGATAGGAAAAGACATACATAGGCTGAAGGTGAAAGGTTGGGAAAAACCATATCACTCCTATGGACTTCGGAAACAAGCAGGCGTGTCCATACTCATATCAAATAAAATAGATTTCAAGCCAAAGTTAATCAAAAGAGATAAAGAGGGACACTACATACTGCTTAAGGGAACCATACACCAACAAGACATAACAATCATAAATATTTATGCCCCAAACAATGGTGCAGCTATGTTCGTCAAACAAACTCTTCTCAAGTTCAAGAGTCTAATAGACCACCACACCATAATCATGGGAGACTTCAACACACCTCTCTCGCCACTGGACAGATCTTCCAAACAAAAGTTGAATAAGGAAACTATAGAACTCAATAACACTATTAATAACCTAGACCTAATTGACATATAT